TAAAACACCTGCAGGCCCCACGATATTACAGATTATATTAAAATGTATCTTGATTGATACAGCTCACCAGGTTGCCCAAATTACTCCGTGCAAGCTGCCTTGTCCTCATTTACCACGCTGCCTAGCATGGCATGGCCTGCCAGCTGTATCAGTACAGATTCTGTCCTCATCTCTAGATACTTGATGAAAAGGTTTAATGGAATCTGGGCTCACCTCAATCCTTAAAACAAGATTTCCAGAAGCATTCCCATTTGATAATGATTCACCGTAAATGACTAACTTCTAAACATCAGTTAGTCAGTTCTTAATTCACTTACTTTTGCAATATCACATAGCAGTAACGTGTCAGGACAGGAGTTCCAAAGGGGCATAGCAGTCCTAACTGACTGCCTCTGCTGTTGCTGAGAAAGCAAACCATAGACAGGACTGAGGAGGAGCTGGGGAGTAGCAGAGGACTGCAGGGGTTGGACTGTCTCCCTGCCCTTGCATCAGATGACTTTTGAAGACACAGCTTTACTACATCACCTGCAGTCCTGGTTGCTTTAACTTTTCCTATATTTTGATGACTATTAGAGTCAAGATAGCTGGAATATGATTAAGTCAGTCATCCACCCTTCCCTTGTTTACTCTGATACAGTTAATTTTAGGAACCTCAGTTATTAAAAATTGTTTCCAGGCCTACAGAATTTTCAGTAAGGTCTTTAAAACAATCAAGCCACAGCCCTGCTGATTCACATATGTGCATCCCTAGAAGGACTCTTTATTCATTAAGACAGATTTAATTCTCTGTTGGAATGGCATTAATGGCATCACATTCTACGCCTTCCCAAATACAGAACAGTATTAACAAATATTTCTACTTTTCTTGCAAAAGCTACATTTATTATTTCTGTCTAGTAATTGGAACTATTTCTAGCATATTTCAGCTGTATAAAACATGCAGTTAATTCTCTAACTTACTTCCTAACTTCTAACTTGTGCTAATTTTCATGTATCCATTGTCCCCTTAATTACCGTTTTTACTTTGAAATTTCTAGATGTGTCCTGAAGCCAGATGGCTTTTAGTGTAGATGTCTTTTTTCTTTAAACCAGAATTTCAGCCTTTGGTATATTTAGTATCTTCTTACAGAGATTGCTGTTTTCCATTCACATTTTTTTCCTACAATAACATCAAGTTCTCTGTGATGACAAAAGATGCTCTTTTGAAGCATTAAGTATAATTTCTTTGGGGCTGTTCTCTGTTTGTCTATCCTTTACATAACTGGGTCACACTCGATGGTCCCATGGCAACCACCAACTTCCAGCTGTGTGATACCAAAGTCCACAGTAGCTGTCTCAGCTGAAGAGCCAAAACAAGAACTGACCTGCAATGGGCTGAATTTCCAAGGCACTGAACACCTTCCCGTGATGTCAACAGGATGTTCAGCACTTTGGAATCAACAAAACAGAGTGCATAAAGGGAAACAAACCTGTAGGTTCGCTGATCAGCCATTTTGGACATCTCCAAAAAAGCATTTAAAAAAAGACGTATATTAATTTCTCCTATTCTTTTGACTGTAAAGGTAAGGTATGTATCAAGTAACCAACTTGGTAAGTCAACCAGACTGGACAACATACACATTCAGGCTCCTCCTCATCAGCCTGACCCTCACTCAGGTTAACTGCTTCTGCATACTTCAGCCATCTGCTGTTTGTTTCAGGAACAAGGCAAAATGAACCAACCTCAGTCCAATCCCAGTGGGACACTGCCACAGAAACTGCACTGCTCCTTGGTAAAGAAAGGCAGTGCAAAGCACATGCACTTGGAGTGTAGATACGACATCCCTTATCTGCCCAAGATGAAAGCATCTATGCTCTACCTAGATTTGTACTGCAGTCAATTAAACTTTAGTACAGAATCAGTCCTTAGCCTCTAGGAGCAAGTCTTTCACAGGGCAGTAAATCAAAGTATGCAGCAAGAAGACCACAGCATTTGGCTTTGTAATCGCCTGAACAGTAAGAAAAATATTTGGAACCTTTCATTTTCACAACGTCATTAAAATAATATGCTAACTATTCATACACAGCGATCTGTTAGATGTTCTAGAAGCATGGTAGCAGCAGAGTCTGCAGATGGAATTCTGCAGATGGACTTTTCCACATAATCCCACATGGCTGCTGAAGTACATACTTGCATGCATTTAGTTAAAGCAGAAATTCCTTATGATGTTTCACAAGTCTAAATTCAGTAGCTGAAAAGGAAATAAGCTGGGTTCTGGCTGTACATCAGCAACTTATTTTGTACAACTGAAAATGACTAAGGAAAAACACCTACAGTGGTTCAGTCATTAAAACAGTGTAACAGTCCATTAAAAAGCAAAATGGAGAGCTGTGCCCATACCTTCTCCAACAAATTCCTCCTGAATTATGCAGCAAATATTCAAAACCAACAGGCTGCAGAGACAGTTCAGCCTGAAGTGTACAATCCCTGTGCTGGATTCCTCTGTCCCCTCCTCTCAGGTTTGAGGTAAACATAACTATGCAGGTTGCCAAAAGCATCAGATAACAAAACATTCAGCTTTTTTCTACTACCCAGATTTTGTTTAAGTTCCCTGCTACATACACATATCTAAAAAAAATTTTGTATGGGATGGGAAGAATTTCAGTTTGGGGTGGAAGTCCACAATTTGCTGGGAGGGCTTGTGTTCCTCTAACTTCCTTTATCCTCCTCCCATGAGCTTAGAAAATCTCAGAGTCAATCAGTAGCTTTATCCATTTAAGAAGTGCATTCCATTCACTATAAAAGATTAAATATGTGAACTAGAAGTTTCTACTGTAACTTTCAGTCATCACACAGTTAATGACAGCTTTAAGATGCCATTAACAGCATTTCAAAGGCCTACTGCAAAGGCTGAAGTCAGTTCACATCCTCTCATAATTTCTGCTTAAGGTTAGCAGAGTCTGAAGGACTTACTTGAATATTAAATTCAGATGAAAGTACAGAATGACTTTAAAATACAAGTGTTATTCCTGACTAGTAACACATCTGCATCCACATAAACCCTCGCAAATCCTTAAGAAGAGCCTTCCCACATAACATAATCCACTTTGAGGCTTTGTCTGCATAAGGCACTTTGGATTACTTAAGACAAAAACCATGCAAATTAAAAAACTGATTGATCAAACTGCTTGAGAACCTCTTCAAATGCTCCTTTCCAGATCAGAGTGATTCTCAATTATTCTGCCTCAAACTCGTAGGGCAGTTGAAGCAATTCACTTCAAATTCACACCTTCGGCTGACTTGAATAATTTCTTAATGGCATGTGAAGACAAGCCCTTAACTTCAGAACCACACACAGAATTTACTTGGGAGTAATTGTCCAAAATATCTCCCCTGGGAGACAGGCCCAGACAACACAACACATCAGGATGCTGGTTCAACACCAAACCATTCTAAGAAGAATGCAACAAGCCACACAATCAGAAGAGCTTGAATTCTGGTAAATGAATTTCTGACTCTGTATTTGCCAGGTTTGTTTTAGAGAAGCATTTCCAGCAAGCACCTAGCTTTAGTTTGAAAAGTCTCTTATTCTGACACAATTATCCATGACTCCTCTTCATTCCTTCCCTCCCCTTTCTCCACAAGCTGCATCCCCCAGCTGCTCTTTCCCAAACCCCAGCCTGTTGCCCCGAGAGCTGACACATGGGGTACAACCTAACACAAAACAGCCCCTTGTTGAAAGATTTCAAGCATCACCTGAATACAATGCAAAACAGCTTGGAACAGAAATTGCAGGTTCAGATCCAGCAGAGAAGTGCCTTGACTTCAGAGGTTCCCTCCCCCACAGCTAGGCTCTCATTGTTTTTTTCCTGGGGATACATTTTCAGATCAGAGCCACAGCCTGCTGCAGATATAGATCAGCTTTGCTCATCCCACCATTCTCAGTCACTGACAAAAAATAGCTCTGGAGGGAGGAGGAAGAGGTTTTCAGCTGTTTTCTTCTCCAGTCCTCTCTAGCCTCCTTTGCAATGAGGGAGAAGCCATTTTCTTATGTTCATGGCCTGGTGTCAGAGTAACTGTTTTCTTACTCTACGGAGCCAGTAAATCTCCAGATGTGCCTGTAAAAGAAATTTAATAGTTGCCACAATGTTCCGGCAGCACCCTCACCAACACAATCACCACACTTTTTATGGAAGAGCTGAAAGAAGCTGGCTGGCACATTACTTGTTTCCTTACCAAAGGCAGGGCAGAGAAGCGGCTGGAGAGGTCCAGATAGATGCTTCTCCTAGGCACACTGATACTCTACAGGGTTCAAAAAAAACACAGAAGAGGGACATTTTCCTAGACAGGATCAAAAATAGATGGCTGGAAAATATGTAATATACTATTCTTCAATTTTCTCATAAACAGTAACTTTATTCTTCTTGAAACGTTGATTGACATTTGATCCTGTTATGAACAACTCTAAGGCCTCCCCCACAGAGCATCTAAGCTGCATCACATTAAAGCTGTTCCTTTCTCCTTGCCTCTAGCATATTCCTAACATTTAAACAACTCTGCTGTGCACACAAGCAAAGGCACAGCTAGTTAGTGAAAGCTGCAGCACTAAGGGCACCATAGGAACCATCCAATCTTAATAATCCATTAATTTCACAGGGCACTGTATTTATTAACTAGAAGCCAACTGCTATTAATTCAAATGTACATGTGAAAAACTGTCCCATTAGAAAAGCTGAAAGAATTATTACAGATTTATTTTTCATGGATGGTCATGTTTCACAGGCTTTGTTACCCCCATAATCCAAAACAACATGAAGAGTCAGCCTGAATGATGGAAGAATTGTGACAGAATAGGAGAAAGGCAAGCGTCAGGAAATCCAGCAGGCTTACTGTCTGAGGATTTCAGCTGATGTGACACCACATGATAAGTAACGTTCTTGTGGTCAAGCCTCAAAACCCATAGGGACTATTTCCATTTCAGCTTAAGAAAAGAAAAAAAACCAACAATCTCACTTCTTACCTATTGAACAGTGAAGTAATTAGCAGGAGACACACAAAATATGTATTTAGGCAATCCTTCTGCATTTAACTTTGGTAACTTTTGTAACAGTGTATCTTAACTCTCGCTTTACAGGCTCTGGACCAAGAGACTCAGGCGAGCTGCCCTGGGGCAAGTTTCAACAGCCAGATTCCATCCATCCGCTCTGCCATGGAAGCCTCTTACAGCACCATTGCTCAACTCGCAAATCTCTCTCCTCCGGCAAGTCTGCTCTGGTCTGGAGGAAACACAGGCCATTTCTGACCACTATCTCATCCGTCCAGGAGTTCTGCAGTGATCCCACAGGAAAAGCAAATGTAACTGCAACTACTCTTCAGGGACTTATCTGCATTAGAAGGTTTCCAATGGCAGGAATCCAGAGCAGAGTGGCTCTGGAGTTGTGAATTGAATACAGCTGCATTGCCAGGCTCCAAGATCAGGATCTAGAGCAGGCCATGGTGCCTTGGGTGACCATTGCATTTGCACAGTTTTTTGCCTCTTTGCTGAAACAAAACCTGGTGATTTCATGATGTCCTTCTGTCCACACCTACTCTGCAAACTGGCGCAAATCAGTCATGTCCCAACACCCACTAGCTTCCTTGGGCTTATTTCACACATTCAAAAATGTTAAACTATGAATTCCAGACCCTGCTTCCTCCTTCCACAACATAAAGTATCACCCTTGTCACATATCCTTCTCCCCTCCCACTTCTTGTCAAATTTCACTGCCCATACTAACACCAGAGTAAGTTTATCTACTTCAAACCGTGAAATCATCCACTTCTTCCCAGCACCCTTCAAGAGCAAACTGCTTTCCTGTCCTCCTCTCTCTACAACCCAGCAGGTGAACACCCACTCACTCCTGCACATGACGTTTACCAACTGAGGTTTTACTGGAGTAAAACAAGCACTCAAGGAGGTCTAGTTTTATAAATAAAATTGCATACCCTTCCCTGCAGCCAAAATCTCATCATCTCCACATTTTCCATTCTCAGTCCTTTTGACACAAATTAAATTAAAAAAAAGGCCTTCTCCTTCCATATTTTGTGCCCAGGCAAATTGTGGGTTTATTACAAAGGTCAAACAATCTTGTTTTACAAAACTAACTGGAGTTTAATGCTATCCTTTCAAAGTCTAAAAACCCTACTCACAGCAACTCTTGCACCACACAATAAATATTATACAGAATTCATAAAGCAGTGCAACTAAATCTTAACTTTTGACTACAGTAAATTAAAATTCACAATTAAAGGAGGCCAAAGTATATCACTATCCGCAAGGTGGAAAATCTAGACAGATCTCCAGACTCAAGCCTTGAAGAGTGCAAGGCTCAGCAGCTGCAGCACCCTGCATATCTCACAAAATGCAACGTCACAAACTAACACCAGAAGGTTGTAGCTACATCTCAGTGCCAAATATCTGGCAGCCTTCTCCATTCTAGAGAAGCCTGATCAGAGACTATAGCTGAGCCATAGTTCACGATTTAATGATTAAGGGAATGACCATTGCACTGAAAATGTGAAGTGTTTCAGGTTTAAATTATGAATGACAGTGACAGCATAAGTTAAAATTATTACATGTTTTCATTCACCTTTCAGGCTTATAAATAAATAAAAATGAAAGTAAAGTTGGAGAGCGGTTTTTTGTACACTGTCAGCAAACAAATACCTTGATGCATGTTCGTCATGCACTAAACAGTCGAGATTCAGTACCAAAAATGCCCAGGACTGCACATAGTTGCTTTCAATTAACAAAAAAGACAAACTCAGTTTATTACCTCTTCTACGATCAGAATGGCAAGATCTACCTTGTCTCAAAGATCTGCCCCAGTCTGGAGCACTCAGCCCGTATCAATTTACACCTTAAAGGATTTCAAAACGCTGCTGAAGCTTCTGTGCCTTTCGTGAATTGGTTTTGATTGACCCTGCATCTCTGACCTACTGCTGTTGAAATACTCCTCAAACAGAGAATATTTATGCTAATTTAACTGGATTCAAAGGGCCCATTTGGAGTCATCTCTTCAGGGTCACACCGCAGTCTGCAGCATTCTTCACTTTTACCGCTATCCCAGCATAAAGGCAGAAAAGCACCGTGGACCTAGGGCTTCCCATTCGACACCCAGCTCAAAGGCAAACATGCAGAAATACAAGTCCTTGACTGACAAACGCCTATTGAAGAAAAGCAAACAAACCTTTATGCAAGAGCACCGAAACACTGAAAATCAGGAATGGCATTACCCATGAAGCACCTAGTATACCAGTGCACCTCAAAAAGGTTATGAAGTAAGTATAACCCTAAAACATCAAAATAATGGGAACATTTGGCTCCTTCAAAGTGCTGTAACCTCATCAAAACACTCGAACCTAATTTGACATTTATATCTCTATAAACAATCTGTAAGCAAAAGCAAAGAAAAAACAACATTTGCAGTTCAGGGAAAGACATCAAAACAAACATGTCCATAGTACTCAAATGTTAAACTACATGTGGGAATCTGATGATCTTTTGAATGGCTGAAAGCTAGGACAGAGGAGAGGGCATCTTGTTTTTCAATTAATTATTAATCAATCTTTTCAGCCATCAAATCCCTGCAATGACTCATCCACTTGCTTTACCAAAGTCTAAATTGTTATGGAAAGACTGAAATTCCACCGGAACATTACCCTCCTGAGTGCAATACTTAACCCTGCATATGAAAAAGGATTTTAGTAGATTCATTCCTCTCTCCCACAAAAAGATCAAATTTCCATTAAACCTGGAAAGAGAGATCACACACATGCCCAAAAAGGAAGAGAGAAAAGGCAAAACAGTATGTAGAATTTTACATTGAGAGGAACAAGAGAAGTTAAAGTCCCTCTCAGTTATTCATTACAAAGCCAGTATTCTTCCAGTGACAGTATATGCTGCAAGCAATAAGAGAATTCACATCATCAGAAATTCTCAATAATCATGCCATTAAACAATACAATTCTTTTACACTCATTCAGATAGTTTCTACTGTCGGCAAATGAATTTAGTTTTATAGAATCACGGCTTGACAGGAGCTATCTTTTAAGCTTACAAAATTATGAACTTGATCCTACCCCCCACATCCATGAAAACCTCTTTTCAAAGTTTAAAAGCTCTACTAAATAAACTAAGCAGCAAGACCGAGCTCAGTTGGTGATACCTATGTACAGAGCTTGCTCTTTTCCTGTGCTAAAATTATATCAGAACATTGCAACACATTTGCATACCTCCCACACGTAACTTTTTGCCAGCAGTAACAAGACGACATCAAGACTCAGAAAACGTACCAGACAGAGATAGGAGAGGATGGAGTTTCCTGCAGGAACACCCAGGCTGAAGTCCAGCAGCTCACAGGGAAGGTGCTGCCTTTCTACCAGCCCAATGCCTTTGTATCATGCTCCCACTTACCAGTGTCAAATGTGAAACTCCACCCAGGAAACAAAAAGCTTCCTACTGTTTCTCTCCTCTACACAGCCTCCTGGCTACTATCAGAAAAACTGGTATCACTCCACCCTTTTTCCATAAGAATGGAACATTTTTCCTCTTCACATGTTCAGCCTTGGAGCTACCATGGAATAGGAAGAGGAGGAAAAAGAAGTCTCTGCTGGGTCATCTCCCCTGGTCTCTCTTGTATGTTTTTTCTGGAAGTATTTCTAGTGGCAGTCCACAGTGCTGCTGTTGATTTTAATCATGCAGAAGTAACATGAAATTCACATGACTATTGTCAGTTTTCCAGCCACACAAGTTTTGCAAAAACATCAATTAAAACAATCTGATCTTCCAGCTTTTACCTAGCAAAGCTATCAAAAAAAAAAAAAAAAATCACAGAGGTAAGCCGACCTTTTGGACACACTGGTGCACCATTATTTTCAGAAAAGCTTTTCGTTAAAAAATAAGGTGTCTGCCACCTTACTTCCTCATAGATGCCAGCATAAAAAAAAAATTTAAAAAATTTCATTGAGTCAAGTAAAAGGAAGTAATAGAAAATTACTATCAATCACAGGAAAATACCTGATCCACCATGAATAAAGTGTTACTAAGGTGTGAGAAAGAATTTTAGAGATTTTAGAAGTCAATAATAGAATCCAACGTTATCCACAAGGTGTGCTACACACTAGAAATTCCAATGTTCAAACTGTATGGAGTCATGGTCTTCCCTTTGATTCTTTCCAGTGGCCCTTTTTTACCAGTCTCACCCTACCATGACATCCCAATAGCAAAGCTCAGTTAAAATGCAAGTAGAACAAGACAATCTGAAACTCAGGGAAGTCTTAAATATTGTGCAGGAAAATTTGAAAATGAGCCCATACAAGTGAGACAGTGTAACAATAACTAACAGTAAATACAATAACCCCAAAATCATTAACACGCGTTTATTAATTAACATGTTAGCTGCAGGGAAAGTGCCTTTGTAAAATAATCTGATGAAGACCCAACTGGAAATAAATGAAACAACCAAAAATTATTTTTGTTAGTATTAAATTAGGCTGAGCACACCCCACATACATGGGGATAAGGTACTACTCTAGGAAGCAGGCTTTTAGACACCAGCAGACTTAAGATCTAAATTACCATGGTCTATGAAATGGAAAAATGCAGAACCACATGAAAGGAAGGCAAACCCTGCTTACAAAATAGCAGTGAGTCAGCTCCTGAGGACTGGTCTATGACTGCTTTGAAAACAAGACGCACACTCCTTATGTGCCCTCCAGTTGTACTGAATGAAAACGAGCCCATCCCCTAAATATGCTGTTAATATGGTAGATGACATTGCAGAAAAGATGTCAAGAAACACCACTTAACCCACTGGAACTTCAGAAAACATTTTCAACCAGTGCTGATCCACACAGCCTTTTAACCCTACACACACCTATTCATGTTTGGTGCATTTAATGAGCACGAAACACTCATATCCCTGGCCTCAGATCAATCCGTAACAGCTTATCTTGGGGACACCTCCAATTCTATAAGGTCCTTGAGATATTTTCTTATAGAAACTTCTTCTAAAATGCCATGACCCTTTAGCCTGTCAAGTTCCATCATCTGTAATCAGACTATCTAGAAAGCCAAGAATAAAATTCAAGGTTTTGTGACAAGCTGTGAAGCTATTACTATTAATAAGCCATTTAATATCATATGGAACAATAAGTACTATGACTACACCATGGTGTAGAGAACACAACTATATTTGCTTTCACTCAAAAATCAAAGATAAATTGTAGGCTTTCATAACCCATTTCTCTTAGCAAGTGCCCTTGGCTACAAGCGGCTCTCTCCTTGACCACATTATAGCTCATTTTGTTGTTATTGTTTAGGGACTATCTGGGGGCTTTCTGGTTGTCTGCCCTTTTTTGCTGTTTACAGATGTTATTGGTGACTGGGGCTTTTCATGGTATATTGACTACTTCTGAGGGGAAAAAAATATATACAGTCAAAGAATTAATGCAGCACACAAAAATGCAGCACAGAAAAAAAAAGTCCAGTAACTCAGCTCTATCAATATTACTTTGTTGACATGTATTAAGGTGCTGACCACTGAATAGCATACCAGCACACTCTGAATGGAAGCACCCTGTCCAACTCCTCTGAAAGAACAGAAACCTTGAAACTAGCTCATTTCAGGGAAAGGATTAAAGGTTGTTTTTTCAGGTGTCCTTCTTGCACACTGAATCCCTCTGCCAGACATTGCAGTTTATCATTGCTAAACACTTACACTGCAGAAGTACCTACAGGCCTCAAGTAGGTCAGGGCCTCAGCATGCAAAGTACAGAACTGATGCATAATACTTGACAGCCCTTGCCTCATCATATTTTTCTATTTCAAGTGTTTTATCTTCCCACAGCTATTTGAACAACCCACACAAGCAAAAGAAACTCAATGACACTGCAAAAAAAAAAAAATCACCCAAGTTCCACCACCAATGTATGCAAGTGCTATCCAACAGAAAAGGAAAACAGATGTAGCTCTGCCCCTCATTAGAGTATTACACATAAGGATCTAGCTAAATGTCAAAGCAAAGCAGGTTTGGGGCTTTTTAGGCTGGCATAGCTCCAACTATTCTAAGAAAGACAGAAGTGGATATTGAAACAAAATCTGGTAAATATTTATGGATCAGAGCTCCAATTCTCCTTTTCCCATCCCCTATATCCTAGACACACTCTTTTAGTGAAAGAAAGTGTCCCAGTTGTCATCTTCAGATTGCACCCTGATTGAGACAGAGCAGGGGTGCAAAACCAAATGCAAAGAAAATTTACATAAACTGCAGGGAGTGGAACTACAGCAGGGTTTGCATACCTTGAATTAGCTCCATTAGAGATGAAAAAATATGCAATAAATCTGAAATGAAGCTTAACAAGATAATGGAGTTCTTGGCAACCTGATTATTTTAACAAGTTAACAGCCAGTTATCACAGATTGTTTCAGTCTAAACACACATACCAGGACAGCACAATCCAGAGGAGTAGGCCAATATACTCCTGTAAGATTAGTTGTGCTTTATGCTCCATGCTCTCCCTTCTCATACCTCCCTGCTTCATCACCGCCCACCTCTGTCTTCCCAAATATTCATCCAGATCCTGCAGAGCTTACCTGCAGCTTCCCATCCCATTCCCTCAGCTGAAAGGGAAAAACTAGCATTGCTGTGGACGTGACTGCAAGTCACCACCAATCAGCTGCTGCCCAGGGACTAGGGAGCACAGAGACTTGGGAAAAAACAGCCATTACTTATTAACCAAAAGGTGGTGTCTTGACAGGGGATTGCCTAGTTCTATCACAGCCCATTGCTTCTTGCATCTAAAGAAAAACCCATCTAACACCCTTATTTCGACAGCCCTCTCCATCTCATCCATGCCACAGGAACGCCTGCTTGCTCCCAACCTTTGGCAGCACTACCAGCATCCCAGCCCAGGATCATGGGAGGCAGCAAGTCACCACAACATACAACCTGCCAGAAAGGCAAAGCATATGGGACTGCCACATCCAACTGCAAACTGAACAGCTGGACTCCAGAGTGCAGCTCTGGTGCCAACAGCAATCTGGTGGAGGGGTGGGATGGCAGCTGAGCTTTGCCTCTAAAGCCTCAGACCACGACGCTTCCTCCATAGGAAAGAGTGAAACAGAAAAACCCCAAACCCAGGCAGTGCTCTCCTTAACTACCGCAGAACTTCAAAACAGCACATGATGGGGTAGGAGGGAAGGGGCTGCACGGGGCTTTCCTTTCTTACAAAATTTCTTCTCATGGAATTTTATTCCCCCCAGTGTTTCGAACATCAGTAATGTTAACAATCACTAAATTCCTTACATAATTACTTGAACTGCCCATAAAAATTATTTTGCAGTCTGCCTGAAAAAACATTTTATTTCAAAAGGTAGCAGAATCGGTTTATAAGCAGAAAAAAAAAATAACTTTTTTTTCCCGGTTCCTGCAGAACATAAGAGTTAATGGAATGGAAAAGAGACTTATGCCTTATTGATTAAAACAATTCTGACTATGCACAGAGGACCATTCCATGTTTCCAATAATACACTGACCAAAATGAATGAAATGCAAAGTCAGATAAGCACAAAGTTTGGAGTTCATTGCTCAACATTGCTGCAACAAATGCCAGAATTTTATATATCCAATCACTGGAGGCAGTGGAATGTTATTATAACTGCAAGCATATTCTAGGACGTGAAATAATAAATAAAACTAGAGAAATGTATTATTTATTTAAATTTAAAATTTTTCTAAAAGAGGCCCATGAAAAGCTGTGGACAGAGTAACACAATACTACAGCTAAACCACAGCAGCACTAAAATAATTGAGCAACAAAGAACAGTTTGTTCATTTTTTTCACTTGCAAATCTCTCTCCCCCATCGTTACTGTCTGAGGCGCCAGGCAATAATGTCACCAATATCTTACAGTATGTCCTTTTTACCATCAAGTGCAAATACAGCATTGCTAGACAACTTGTTAGGTGTTGGAAAGGCCAACTTTTCCCCAGTCCAATCTCTTCTGTGGTTTCTCAGTTGTTGGAAGTGTTTTACCTCTCTCTGAAAACAAATTAGGCACAAAGAAGGACAGACAGACCTTACTCTTTGATGCTGAACCTCACTATGCTGATTTAGGGCTCCAGTGTTCATAGTCAGCCTCCAAGAGAGCATGCACTCTGTGATGGTGCTCCCTTATCCAAGAGAATATCACCTACCAAAGACAATGGATGAAGCTTGAGGGAGTAACGTGATGAATCTCTTCCCATCTATCCAAAAGACACCTGAGATTCCAGTCAATAACTGAGAGCAGGCAGATATTTCAAAACAACATCATATTGTGTCAAAACACACAGCTAAGATTACTGCTGCCTACTGAACTTGATACACATCCAGTAGGAAACAGGTCTATACATATGAAAACAGGTAACAAGGCATTCCTCCAGTGA